TCGCCCACCTCTGCATCAGAACTCACATCTTGTGACTAATGGATAAAAACCTTTTGTGAGCCAGGCAGTGGTGGCGCACGCCTTTAATCCCAGCACTGGGAGGCAGAGCCAGGTGGATCTCTGTGAGTTCGAGGCCAGCCTGGGCTACCAAAACACCCTGTCTCGAAAAACCAAAAAAAAACCTTTTGTGGTGCACGCCTTGAATTCCAGCACTTGGGAGGCAGAGGTGGGCAGAATTCAGAGTTCAAGTTTAGCTGGATTGATCTACATAGTGAGTTCCAGGATAGTCACAGCTACACAGAGAAACCCTGTCTTGAAAAATGAAAAAAAAAAAAAAAAAGGAAAGAAAGAAAGAAAAAGAAAAAAACCTTTTGGAATCTTTAACTTAGCAGACCACCAGCTTCCACCAACCCGAAAGCTAAGAATGTCATCGGATAATATCTAAGACCTATAGAAAAGCTCCCGCATCTCATTGTGCTGACCTGCCTCTGATGTATCCACCAATGTATTGAAACTTGCCTTGATTTATGACTTACTGTGATCTATACAACTATAAAACATGAAATTGCTTCCACGTTGGAACATGGAATTTGGGGTAACCTGTGTTCCCAGGTCATGGTCACTCAAAATGGCTCCAGAATAAACTATCTCTTGTTCCGTGTGGTTTTTACATCGACACCTCTGGCCACACTTTAGTCCGCAGGACCACATCAATTGCCCTGTAGCCCTGGACCTGCCTCCGTCTTCAGCTCACGGCCCCTTGCAGCTGACTGTCAGCTGCTGGGATGGGGTCTCTCGGAAACAGAATGCCACGGTGTGTTTATAAATAAGTGTAGGTTTCTCTGGGGTTTTTGAAGGCGAGCCCCTCAGTGGAGGACGATCACACACTCTGCTCAGTGCACCGATTCAGAAGCATCCCACAAAAGGACACCCTCCCTCCCTGCTCTGCCCCTGCCCGTAGGCTCAAGCACTTGCAGCCATTTCACATAGATGTATCTCCTTTGGCTTCCAGTGACGGCCGCATCCCTAGCTGGGGCATATCCCAAGTCCCTCACTATGTAGTTATAAACAAACCAGTGTGCCTCACACTGATGGGTGGCTCTTCCAGAGAAGTCTGAGTCCCATGTCTCGAGTTGGAAATCCAGACACATCTCTTGGTCTTGTGGCTGGTACCACCCAGAGAAAGCACCGTGTTCACACAGGAGTCGCTGGAGCCAAGGTGCAGTCACTCTAGCTGGTGGAGCATGTGTACTGAGGAGAATCACCACAGACCACGTCTTCAAGAAGATTCCCCACAGAAACAAGTTAGCCCAATTTCCAGCAGCCACCAACAGCAGCAAGGAGTGCCTGTGCCACTGGTAAAGCATCTGTCTTTGTGCAAATGAAGTTCTGTTTTCATAACAAGTAGCGGGCATGAGTTTTACAGAACCTGAGACAGGAAACTGCTCACAAACAAGCACGGCTGTCTTGTTTCACTATAGGGCCATTCCCCAAAAGCCGCATCACTGCAGGCAATGGAGAAAGGATAGGATTCCTCAGGAGAAACTGGACTGCCAAGTCAGGAAAGACCAGCGTGGTGAGCTGCGGGATGGTGACGAGCTGGAGGTGGTCTCTCAAGAATATCGTGAAGGCAAGTGGCCACCTTTAGCAGGCAGCTTATATTCTTACTGTGGTGGCTAGTCTTATCAACTTGGCATACCTGGGAAGAGGGACCCCTAACTAAAGAATTACCTCCATTGCATTGGCCTGTGAACATAGCTGTGGAGCGTTTTAAAAAACTGCAAATTGATGTAGGGGGGCCGAGTCCCCTGTGGGCAATAAACCCTTCCCTCCCACAAGCTACTTTTAGCCAGTGTTTTAGTACAGCAACAGAAAAGCTAACTAGGATGTATACTTTACACTTAAATACAGGTGCACACAGCGTGACTTAAAATAGAACATGGAGTTTACCATCCAGTCCTTCTTCCCTCCACCACAGACCCAGGGACAAGTATCACACCTTGCTTAACCATCCTAACCATTCTTTAGGTAACAAAGTTTAATGGATTGTTCAGTGTTCCAGGGAATGAGGGAGGGAATGGGGGAGGGAATGAGGTTTGAAGTCTTATGCTGCTTGAACTGGCAAGTTGACATACCACAAAGCCACTTACAAGCCACTAGATTAAGTCATGGTTCATGTGTATATGAGGTAGCTAAAATGATGTGAGGCAGCTTTCAGGGTACCAATTCACAAGATTCACGAAGATCTGCTGAGTAAATAGGGGGGCGGGGTTCTCAATGTGTGAACCATATCCACTATGGTGCATCCAGGCAGACAGTGATGAGTACCTTGTGTTTGAAAAGGTAAACTTCATTTGTGGACACAGGACAGTACTGCACAGTACTGGGGTCTAACCTCATGTGTACATAGCAACTACCACCTGCCAGAGCCTGGTGTGGTTCCTAACAGATTGTCCTCCTGTTTTGGGAATTACCCTGGCAACAAGTGGCCATGAGGATTCAAACCCAAGGAATCAAAACGTTGACTCAGGTGCTGTGCTCCATGGCACTAGCTGGAGGGAAGGGTGTAACTAAGGGGCGTGGAAAGGAGAGCAGTGGGACAAACAGTGACATAATTTGTTTGTGCTGTTGCTGGGCCTAAGTGACCCCACCTTTAGGGTATGCTATTCAGAAACTGGAGGGTAAGAGGGGCTCAAGAGGTCCACACCACACATCTGACGTCCTTGGCAGGGCAGGTTTTCCTGACCTCATCACCAAAACTCTTATTATCCAATTTTTAATTGCCTTTCTTTTTATGTGTATAAATGTTTTGTGCGCATGTATGTCTGCCCACCACATGCTTGCAGTACCCAAGGTCAGAACCCCTGGGAAGGCAGTTACAGACATGTGGGTGCTGAGAATCAAACACAGGATCAAATTTAATAATTACCCCAAATTATACTTCACTACTCACTAATTTGAGTAGCGAAGAACCCAAAGACCATAAACTCTAAAACTAAAGCCTGTTTCACGATCTCCTTACGAAGATAGCCAGAGAACACTCAACTCCCAGCAGTACAAGTCAACTCTAAACTTACACTAGCCTCCAATTCTGTACTAGCTGCATCATTTAGCAGGTAAGTTCTAGTGGAGACCAGTCACAAAGGTCAACTAGGAACAAGAAGAAATCCTGACTCACTCATCCTACCTGTAACATTTCGTAATAAAGCCACAAAGCAAGCTTTAACCCCCTCTCCAGACAACTACACTTACCAGGCAGGTGCCTCAAGGTGGGAGTTCCCAAATGATACCAACACCTAGATCAATGCATGCAAACCAATGCCAAGTCATGCCAACAGAGAACCTGCATGTACCCGGGAAGACCCCACTGTCCACACAACTCTGCATTCTCCCTGCCGGCACCCTCAAGCTCTCAAGTGCTTAGGTCATACATTAAGCTTCCTCCCTGTGGACCTTCAACTGAGGGAAAACGGAGAAGAGGCAGGTGTGCTAGAATAGTAAAGAAAGTAATTCCACACACGAAGACATTCTTCTATTTTACATTTTATTGCATTATGAAAATAATACATTTATTTGGCAAAGTGATCTAGGCTCCAAGTTGAAATAAAGAATTCTGGTGTCTGGATTATTTTTTAAATGTGAAATATATGTATTCTAGCCAATACATACTAGCATCCTTGTTAGGCCAATAACCCAGTCAAGCTAGTTTTCATAATTCCATATGAAATTACAAGGTGTTTTTTCATCCATTCATCTTACGATCAGCACAAAACTCAAGAACTGACCTTCATTTTGTCAAAACCAAAAGATCTAAGAAAATCCTTCTCAGAAGACAATTTGAAACACTACTCAAAATAATTTGCTTTGGCTCTGCAGGTACATCTCCGTCCTCTCATTACAGTTTTCACATTCAAACATTGCAGCAGCTTCAGGCTCTGCCCAGGTACCGTTAAGTAAACTAGTACATTACATACATTATTTGAAAACTTGATTTTACAAATACACAAATACATGCCTATCTACACTGCCAAAATAAAACACTGGGACCTCAATGCTCTAACAGGTCAGCCAGACTTTCTGACCCAAGACTTCTGGGACAGCTTTCCAAAGCCGATAGTTACAGCTCCCTAACTCCATTGCTCTGGCCACACACGGGAAAGGCTGTAGTTGTAACAAACAGTAAATGGATTAAATTGAACCAACACTCAAAATATATTTTCACTACTCATTTTTGCTCTGCCACATTCCCAGAACTGAAGACATTTTTCAAAAATGTTCCCTTTTTAAAAAGGGGAAAAAAAGGCAAAAACAAGTCACATGTATACTCTTTCCTCATTGGCATCACCCAATTACACGTCAGGGTTGGGAAGGGAGAAATGAGTAAGAATTTGTTCAGTATCAGAGGACCAGTTACTTCAGTCATCAAAGCCTTGATTCTCATGGATCTTCTCATACGGATCTGCTGCATACGTGAAGGAAATGTGCCTAAAACTCGCCTTTTGAACATACAAATGACTCAGTTCATGTTAGAACTGATGCTTCCTTTGCACAATGCCTATGGTAAGTGCATCTAACAACACTTCTGGAAATGGGCTTCCAAGGGGCCAATGCATCTACAGCCTGCTGAACATAGTTTCACAACGTGATGAGTACTGCAGCTGCCCTAGAGACCCTCCCCAGTATCCTACATGTATCTGTATAAACAGCAACAACTTTCATCTATGATCAACATAGGATAGCTAATAAATATTAAAACTATTAAACTATAGATTAAAATGCAGACCTCTCACAGAATTGAGTGATGTCATTTTGGTACATTCACCATTATTATACTTTATTTAATAAAGAAATACATTTTCTCTTGCAAAGATAGTAATTGCAAGTTTACAAATAAAACCACAGACCTCCATTCATGATGCTAAATCTTCCCAACTTTAACCAGCAGCAAACTGATTTGTTTACAAATGGTCCATGGAACCATAAATAAAGACTATCAAAGGTCAAAGGAGCTTAGAGAACAGGTTTATTGACAACAATCTCATAAATACCCTAAGGAAAATCTCAAAGTTTCTAAACCTAAAATGGTTAAAATCTGTCCTCACTGGCAATCCCTCAACAAAATAGAGTAACAGGTCACTACACATGAATGTCACATTCAAAATTCGCTTCATTTTCTAACATTTTTGCCAAAATTTTTAAAAATTACATTTGATTTTCACCTCTCTTGGGTGCAGTAAATCAACACTCAATTTTATTAGACAGATTCATAACTATATCTAGCTGCTGTGAACCTGAAGGTCGTCAGTCAGTAGTATATTACTCTATGAACAAATAGCCAAATTCCTTATTTTTTAGTCATAGTAATGTCTAAGTAGTCAAATGCAAACTTTGTGGTTTCCCTCCAAATCCCCCAGAGCTTACGATACAATGTGAGAAACTGTTTGCATCAGCTACTGTAGGTCCATCTGTACCTCAGGTGACTGAAACTAAAAAGGAATTCTTCTGTATTTTGATAAAAATGTACTCGAATATTTCATAACATTAATATTTATTGCTTTATATGAATACTGTATTGAAAGCCCAAGCATTCAGTTTACACACGAAATTATACAATTATACCGCTTCACAAAGGCAGTGAACACATTACAGTCTACAAAATCTACTTTACAGAAATTTAAAAATTCTAAATATCAAAAGGTACAGCTGAAGAAACAGGTATAAATTTGGCAGCCAGTAATTTTGACAGGGAAGTTGCAGCTTGCATGACTTTAAATATGTGAATTTGAAAATATTGAGTTTAGAGTAGTAACTTTGTGCTTTGTGTTGATCTGAAAAATATAACACTGGCTGTCGAAGAAGCATGTTCAAAAATATTAATTCACTTCAAAATGTTATACAAATCATGGTGGTTTCTGTGTACCCCTAAAGCTTTAGTCATTTTAGCTCAGGTACATTACTGAAGTACCTCCTAATTCTTCCAGTACAGTGCTGTTTCACAGCAGTGCCGTGTGCATACAGAATAATTTAGAAATAAAGGTGTAATGTCACAATGTTCAGAAAAGCAAGTGAAACGGGACCCGCGGGCTCTTCTGAGATGGTTTCCTGTCAGGCTCCTAAGCACTCATTCTACCAAACAGTGAGTTAATGCTCCTACGCAACTCCCAACATAAAGCACATTTTCTCATAAATAATGAAGTCTTTTTTTTCTCAGGCACCTTAGAAGTATACAAAAGAATTTTAGTTTGCACAGATCTCTTGGAATGTGTTTAACCTGGTATTTCAACAGACTTAAAGATTGCCAGGGTTTTACAGGGGCCAGATTTTATCTCAATTACTCAGAAGAGAAAGAAAATGTCTTCTGAAAGAAGTGAACTCAGTCATTACCAATAAAAAAGTATTCACTGTATTCATCTCTTATAGAAACAGAAAAATATAACATTCCCCCTTAGAATAATCTATATATGTATATATGACTTAAAGTTCCATTGTACAGTTGAACAATAAAATCTGAAACCACATGAAACCCTATAATTCACGTTAACAAGTTCAAACTATGACTGAAATATGGAAACCACTAGAGACAAGACAAAAATCTTCCTTGTGTATGTATAAACCAAATGTGATCATCTTTAAAAAGTTTTCAAAATTATAATTATCTTCCAGTTTAAAAACTTTAATTCTAAATAAAAAAAAAATCTATACACAAACCACTGATTTGAGTACACCAAAAGAAAGGGGAAAAAAAAAAAAAAAAAAACAAGCAAAAACCAAACAAAACAAGAAAATCAGCAATAAGCAGGACCTAGAGGAGCCGGTATTCACAGCTCTTCCACGCACAACTCTTTCAGGGTTTATTCTTAAGGTTCTTTATTTTACAGCCTGTTTCTCTTGTAAAACTAAAGGTCCACTTTATTACTTAAAAGTTTGATACAGTGTAAAACCAGAACTGTATGTAAAATACTGCTCTAAGTGTCTCTAAGTCGTTAAGTCTTGTTCCATGGGTTCGTCGGTGACGTCTGTGGTGTCCTCGTCGTCATCATCATCGTCGTTCTCCATGGGTGACACCGAGACGCCCTCTCCAGCTTTCCTGGGCCCTCCTGGCTCTTCCGTCTCCAGGCAGTCAGAACCACTCCTCACAGCCCCTGTGCCGTCCCTCCTCTCTGGGGGAGGACCTCTCTGAGCTGGAGACCGCTCCGAGTCCTCCATGGGAGCACCCTCCTCTGAAGGCTCTTCATTCACAGCTAAGGTGTCTTCAGATTCTTTTTCTTGATTTTTCCTTTCTGGGATGATTTCTCTTGGTGTCATAAAAGATTCTAAAAATAAGCAAATGTTGTAGTTAAATTTGATTTTCAAAATACACCCAGCTATGTTTCATGAATTCTGTTATCTACGGTTCGTTAGCAACCACACTCAGGGGACTCTCCCCTCTCACCTTCCTCCTCCTCTTCCTCCTCGTCCTCCTCCTCATCCTCCTCTTCTGTGCAGTGCTGCCTGATGCGACCTTCCCTGTCCTGCTCCGGAGGGGACGACTCTGCTTCCGCTTCCTGTGCTCTGACTGAGCCGTCACTGCACACCGTCTGGCTGGCTGGCTCTCGGACTTCACCTTCCTTGTCAAACCGCAGTCTTTTCACCTCATGCTCCTCGGCCTCCACAGCATCTTCATCTGGATGTTTATTTTTAACAGGGCTCAGTGAGGAAACCTCGGATTCGGATCCTGGAGAATCACTGCTGATGGTTTTTGAAGTGTTATTAATACAATTATTTCCCTCATGATCTACATTCTTATCTGTAAACTGAATCCTTAACAGACTGCACTGTCAAATTAACTGCAAGTACCCGTGCTGAGAAAACACAGAACAATCCCAAAGCAATCTGAACCGGTTCACGGATGTTCCTATTGGAACCTACTTGGCAAGTTCAACCTTTCTGGGAAATTCTAGAAAATCTTGTCTACATCCACCTTCAGCTGTACTAACACAGAAACCATAGCTCCTACAGCTGCATCAAGGCCTGTTCTGACCCTCAGAACAGTAAATGGGTCACATCCCACAGGACCCATGGAAGTTCCAGGATCCCAGGCACCAAAATCTGAAGAGCTCCAAGTCTATATATAAAAGGCTCATTATTTGCAGAGCCTCCTTTCTATTTTACATCACTGCTAGGTGACATAGTACCTACCTAATGCAAGTAAACACTCTGGGCACAGGGGACAAAGTCTGTACATAACCAGTACAAAAGCAATTTTCTTCCTCAATTAGTTTTCATCTTTTACTAGTTGAATCTACCAAACCCAGAGATGGAACCCATAAGTACAGAAAGGTCCATGTACCTTGTGAATAGTAAATAGTGCTAAAAGCCATTAACAGATGTTAAATTTCTATGCACTTCTTTCTGTCTCTCTTTAAATATAAAATACACAAACCTGTGGACTTTCTCTTCACTTGGCTGTAGGTCTGACTCTTTGCTATCTGTGCTCTCAGGCAAACCATTTGTTGTCAAGGAGGCTGACAAAGAAAGCTTTGGTCGATTAAGTGGCCTGGGTGTTCCAGGCCCATTTATATTAGACCTATAATGAGATAAACCAATATCATTTTCTACTTTTAGGAAAAATTATATATATATTACCCCTTTAAAGTACATATCACAAGTACTTGCACTAATTCTGGCTTTCAGAGCCATGCCCTAATTAGCAAATGTAGCCCGGTATAACCTACAACATAGATCTTGTATCTTCCCCATAAAATGCTGCATTAAAAAAAAGTTAACCTGCTAACTCAAACACCCTAGATGGTTAAAAAAACAAACAAACAAAAAACCCCACATACACACAATATTCTCACCTGTCAGTATAGTTTGGTGAGTTTCCAGGAAACATAACACCATTCATTCGGTTTAAACTATTAGAACTGTTCTTCCTGTAATAAAAGAAAACACTTCAGCTGGGCATGGTAGCACATGACTTTAATCCCAACACTGGGAGGCAAAGGTAAGTAAAGCTCTGAGCTCAAGGTCAGCATGGACTACACGTAGCAAGTTCCAGGTCAGCTAGGGCCACAGAGTAAGATCCTGTCTCAAAATAAAAAAATAAAATAATGCAATAAAGGAAGACACAGAGGAAGGGAGGGGTTACGAATGGCTCACTTCTTTAATTTTGATAACAACTGGGTGTAAGACTGGAGAAATAGTTCACCAGGCAAGAGAGCACAAGCTGCTCGCTCATCCAGAGGACTTGTGTTCTGTTCCCAGAATCCTCACAGTGGCTCATAATCATCTATAACTCCAATTCCAGAAGAGCTGATGCCTGATTCTAAACGACATGGCATGCACAAGGTATACATACATTCAGGCAAAAACACTCACCACATAGGAAACAAAATAAGCACGTTAAAAGGAAGAATAATCTGGGTCTTTAAAAAACAAAACAAAAAGCTGGGGCTGTCAAATTCAAACACAGATAATGGGAAATTAGCTAGCGCGCGCGCGCACACACACACACACACACACACACGGAGGAAAAACAACTATGAGTCAATGACACTTGCTTTTCAATCTCCTGCAACGTTCTTTAGGTAACTTCATATTCATCAGAAAAGCAAAACATTTAATTCAAAAGGAAATCAATTTTGCATACTTTTTTTTTTCCTACCAAGAAGCATGAAGGGATTATCTCAGTATCTGACTTAGCAAGACAGACAAAGTCATGAACTCTAAAAACAAAATTGTCTAAGAAATAAATGGCACTTAAGATTAAGCCAATGAATCTTGGGCCTCTTGTCCCCGACCTTCACACACTCCAGGGCACTCAAGTCTCTCTGTGAGTGTGCGTGCAATTTCCAGGACATCCACCCACAACAAAGAATTATGCAGGAGGCCTAATTGCTAATGGTGTCATGGCTGAACACATGCCTGGAACCAAGTCCTTAAATTGGCATAGAAATCCTGACAACTAACAATACCTGTCCACCATGGAGAATACCATGAACTATCTTATTCCAAACCTAACAGCCACCAATCTAGGTGGCCAGAAGTGTAGTAAGTAATCAGTCTCTTTAGTACAAATCTCTCTACTGGAAACACTTGAGCAGTATTTTGGCAACATTCCACCTCAGCGACCAGGTGGTAGATTTCACATGTACTGAAGTATATTTAGTTACATATAAAATAAATGCACACTACTTTAACATTTTAAAATAATTAGAAAAATCTCTATACTTACTCTGAAGAAGGACACACACAGCTAACAACCATCACATTCTGAAATAACAAAAGTAGTGACTCAATGAGTGAAAGCAAAGCACAGTAACACAACAGTTGAACAACTTGTTTGAAACGTTCAGATTAAGCCTCCATCTATTCTAACTGAAAGCAACTGGTTACAAACAAAACCAACAACAAAACCCAGAAAACTATGAGCAGCAAGGAGGACTTCAAGAGGTCTCATGCACACTCACTGGCTTGCTTTGTCATTTATCTTGCATGCCTTTGTGTCTCTGAGGTCTCAGGATCAGGCCTGGGAGACATGTGCTTTGATGGGCTGAGCCACCTCAGAGGGTCTGATCTCTACCCCCCCCCAATCCTTTTTAAAGCCTTAGCTAGCCTGGAATTCACTATGAAGACCAGGCTGGCCAAGAACTCAAGAGATGGACTTGCCTCTGACTCCCAGATGCTGAGATTAAAGGCTTGTACTACCACGCAAGGCTGAAGTATTTTCTCTTATAATTTCAATAATTTAAATCAGATAAATGGTATTATGACTCCTAGAAACTCACCAAGCTATACTGTGAGAATGTTGGTTCATTTTTTTAATTTCTTCTTACTAGGTTTTTTTTTTTTAAGCATACTTTGGAACTCAGACAATGTGTAGTGTATGTAAAAGTACAGTCCATTTTATTTTCCATTTTCCTGTGCATGCACAAGTACATACATGCACTTACACATGGAGGGCTCCAATGGTCTTCCATCTCATTCAACAAGACAGGATCTCTCAATGAAACCCAGAGCTAGATAGTCAGCTTGCTCTGTGGATCCTTGTCTCTACCTCTCAAAGCTGGAATTCATTACAAGCAGGCCAGCACATCCACCAGTACTTACATTGGATCTAGGGATCCAAACTCTGGTCCTCACACTGGTGTGGCATCCCCCAACAAATGTGATGCCTATGGGAGCCAAATCCCCAGTCTCTCTTCTAAAACTATTTTGAAATTTAAATATTTAGTACAAGAGTGATGAATTTCCTTATCTATAGAGCAATACTCAAACGTCCTCCTTTGGAAACTATCCCAGCAGAGTATTTGAAGGTCCCCTCACAGCCCTATCACCTAGATTATGTTTAAATCCTTGGCTCACACTGTAAAACATGGCAGCATGGAGTTGGCAAAGGTACCAGTGATATCCTATCTGTTCATCAAAAGCATCCATTACTAAGGGTCCCCAAGTTGAAGTACCGATGAACCCTGCAGCGTTCTGCTCTTCAGAATCTCACTCAATAGGCAACAGAAAAGATTAACAAAATGTATGAGTCTGATAACCCAAGAACTACCGGAAATCCCAAAGTTAATGGGCTGAGATTCCTGTTCCCAGAGTAAAAGAAGTGATTTTTTTGAAACAAAAAATTCTAATGTCAATTATGTTTTAGGATCAACTACCATATGAGAATTAGTCATCTGTCCAAATTCAGCTGATCCAATTACTCCTTCCAGTAATTTAATGCTTTGATCATTCAAACACTTTGATATCTTTGTGTTATTTCCTCCATCATCATCATCATCATCATCATCATCATCATCATCATCGTAGCAGTACCCTGCCACCCATAATGTGAACTAGAGCTTTCTACTCAATATATCACTAAAATGCTTTTACACACAAGTTTCTAAGGTTGTGTGCCTCTGAATCCCAGAATTCAGAATTCCACAACGACATTTATAACGTACTGCTAACACTTACATCTTTCTGGTGGGCTTTTTTTCCTTTAAATGCTTAACAAAGCAAATGTTTGTAAAATAAAAAACAAAACAAGCCACGTTGTGGTGACACACACCTTTAATTCCAACACTTGGGAGGCAGGGGCAGATCTCTAGATTTGAAGCCAGCCTGGTCTATAGAGTGAGTTCCAGGCCAGCCAGGGCTATAAACAGAGAAACCCTGTCTCAGAAAAGAAAACCAAAAAAATAAACAATAAATCAAATAAAACCGAATTAAGCAGCTTTCCTCAAACTTAAAATAATGGTTGCCTAGGACCTCTTGGGCCTTTTTTCTGCCTCTGCTTATAAATTTCTCTCTGAAACATAGAATGCAATTTAGAAAGCAAAATAACTCAGTAGACAGTCTATGAAACAACTCATGCCATTGTCTTTTCTGGAACCTATTAGGTTTCACTTTAATTCATGTGATAGAATACATACCTTTTCTACTCCTCGGAGAAATTTGTCTGTTCCTGTATAATTTCTTCTTGGATCTGTTAGCAATTCACAGAGTCGCTGAATAGTAAAAGGGATACTGCAAAGGAATAATTGTATAGTTTGAGTCCTAAGTGTAACAAACTAGGAGCAGGGCTCCACAGTGAGCTTTATGGAGTCCTGTGCTGTGTCGAGCAAACAAAGGAATGCAGGAGACACTGAGCAATATAAAAGAACACTGAAAACCGTGTCAAAACCCATGATGGAGAAAATGTAGTGCAGTGTTCTAAATGCTGACCGCTCAATTTCAACTTTACCAGAGAGGTAACACAAATAATAACTGTCAGTTTATTGACAAACAGAATGTTGTTTTCTCAAGCATTCTTTTGCACCCAAACATTTTACTGAACATCATAAACAACTTTGTTACTGGATAGAGAATAATCACAGCAAATAAAAAAGACAATAATCACTTTACAAAGAGTTTTGAGAAAACCAGAAAGATGGCTCAGTAGTTTAGAGCACCGGTTCCTCTCCAGAGGACTCAGGTTTGATTCCCAGGACCCATATAACATAGCAGCTCACAGTTTCTGTAACTCTAATCACAGGGGAATCTGACATCATCCCGGGAACCAGACACACAGCGGGTACATAAAGACATAAATGTAAGCAAAACCACCATTCTTATAAAATAAATAAATTTTAAAAAAGGATTTGACTCAAATTATTAGCAACCATCAGAATTACAGCTAAGTGTCATGTTGTAAGTACTAGATGTGACAAACACTGAGAAAATGTACATCTTTGGATTTCAGTGTTTTCCATTAACATCTACTTGTGTGGTTTATGAAGAGAACTGCAAAGCCTCAGATTCACATACAATATTCACAAGGTCTTCATTTTCATACAATAGTCTACCCTACAGCGATGCAGCTAGTGTGTGATAATAACATTTTTGCTGTACCACACACATTTGACAGAAATCATAGTAGTTTCTCACTGGATAAACTATACTTATATATCACCTTTTTTTCCTTTTTCCTTTTTTTTATTTTAAAAGAGGCAAGGTTTTACTTTTGTAGACCAGGCTGACCTAGAACTCAGGTATCTGCCTGCTTCTGCCTGTTTAGTTCTAGAATTAAAGGCATGTGATACCACACTCGGTAAATCTCACATTCTTAGCACAAACACTATTTTTGCATTCTTATGTCAGTGTAAGATTTAGGAAATGTGTAAAGGAAATGTTCATAATAAAACAAATGTTTTCTGATTTAAATCCAAAGCTCTATCTAAAAGTGAAGAGTATTCTGCCAAAGAATGTAAAATAAAAAGGTGCAGCATTTACCTGACATATCCAGAAACAAAACCACAAAACAATCAACAATCAAAGTACAGCAAAGACACAACCTAAATAAAAAAAGCTAAGCAGACATTCTATTAGAAAACACCAAGGGGGCTGGAGAGATGGCTCAGAGGTTAAGAGCACCGACTGCTCTTCCAGAGGTCCTTCCTGAGTTCGATTCCCAGCACCCACATGGTGGCTCACAACCATCTGTAATGAGATCTGGCACCCTCTTCTGTATACACAATAAATAAATAAATCTTAAAAAAAAAAAACAAACCAAAATAATACTAATACACATGTAGATCAATACTGCATGAGTTAATGTAATACAGACCGAGAAAGGCAAATTTCACATGTTCTCTCTTACTTATGGATGTGAGTGTATAAACTGGAATAACCACAGAAACCCAGAGAGTAGAAGGGGACCACGGAGTGTAGTGAAAAGGAGCTCTAGAGGGGCACAGGAGGACACAGGTGCTATGAAGAAGGAAATGGGAAGAGTGGAAGTGGGTGGACAACATGACTAACGGGAGAGGAGAGAAAAGGCTATAAAGAAGAGAGTTAACACTAAGAATGCTCAAAAGAGACAAAATCATTGTTTAGTTACAATTACATGTAATCATATAAATATATGTGTATACATACACACAGTTTAAATGCAGTAACAGAGTGATAATGTTCTCCAAGCACAGAAAACCCTCATCTGAGTTGTTCAGGCAGTCTCTCCAATCAATATAAGCTATTGCCCTTGGAAGGTAAGGCACTATTGCTGAAGCTATCACATACTACAGACACAGGACTTGGAAGAATAGGACAGAACTGACCTGGAAGCCGCCTTCTTCCTGAGGACTAGCAGTATCCAAAAGTGCTATGCAAACTGCCAAGGGAGGGCAGCAGTCAGTGGTCCTACCTAGCTGTAAATCCTGCAAACCCACAATGACTGGCCCAGCAAGTTATCTCCAATGGCTGAATAATGGCACTTTTACCTTGGGACTAACCAACAGCTGTGTAACTAGACTGAAGGCTGGCTAAATAGGAGGGAATTCATGCTTGTTACTATAAACCTAGTCAATTACTCATAGCTGATCCAAAGTACGGATCCTTGACGAGAACCTTCTATTGCCATGTTCCTAAACCAGCATAATTTCTAAATGCACTCTAAGTATTTATCTTTATATTCACAAGTAAATGTAGCTCACCCCTCATCAAAAAAGTTTCTTTTTACAGCAGATGGAAACCATTACAGAAACCCACAAATTTTCAAATCACAAAAATCCACAACTGAACATCTTCTGTGCAACCCTTATACCTAAGGCTCAAGAACATTGCAAAGAGGGGGTGGAAAGATTTCATGAGCCAGAGAACCAAGATGCCTGTTGCTGAACAGTGTCTTCTAGACACGACAGGGGAAGCTGCACCATGAAGTCCTAACAATACTGTTGTTCAAACAAGACCTGCATAATGACAACATCAGTTATATGCCTACATGGGTGGGGAAATCACACAAGATCCTTCTCCCAGATGAAGAGCTATGGGTGAACAGGACATAGAGAGAAGGCCCCAGGGTTAAGAGCACTTATTGCTCTTGCAGAGGACCTGGGTTCTGGCCTTAAGGTACTACTGTATGCATATGGTAAGCACACATACATACCCTATTTTATGTTACAGCAATAAATGGATGCAGAAAAAAATCAATCTCCTCCAGGGATGAGCCCCCCTGATAAATTATACAATCTCAAGTGATTAGCCCTAAACACATATACATAGAGCAACACTCAACTCAGTATGCTGTATACCTTACAAACACACATAATATAAAAGGTCATAAATTTGAAAGTAGGGCCACAGAATGAGGGGTGGAAATTATGTACTTGCAGTACTTATATATGAAATATTCTTACAAAAAAAGAAAAAGATCCAAAGAGTCATTCATTTTTATATGTAGCATGCAGTTTTAGAATGTCTTTCTTTTTCACTCAGTCTGACAAACTATTTAATAAAGCCTAACTTAAATATCTATCATCAAAAACTAAAGGAAAGCTAGATGTGGTGGGTCACAACTTCAAAATCAGCTCTTGGGAGAAAGGCAGGTGGATCTGAGTTCCAGACCAGCCAGAGATACACAGTGAGACAACAGTAAGACGCTAGCTAGTGCATCCTTGCAAGGTACCAGAGCCTTGATTGAGGGTAGTGAGAGAATGAAGAAAACACAGACGCATCAACACAGAAAGCTAGGATGGGATGTCTAGAATAAAGAAGCTATAGCACCCAGAAAGCTTAGTATGTTTATTATTTACAGCTAACCTCAGGAGGAACAGTCTCTGTAGGAGAGCCCATCTTCAGGACATAAACATCCAGGGAGAAAGCTAAAGTGCACATTTTCTGCAGCCAACATTCCCCAGAGGAAGGCTTTGCCACTCCATGGGTCATTATGTCAAACACACTCACAATTTTACTTGCTCCCTACATGATGCTGTCTCAAATAAAAGCTCAATAGGCTCCTACTGAATTATCTCACACAATTCAGAAATGGAAGTCTAATAACATCATCTTTACTTGAAGCACTATGCTATTTCTATACCAAGGCTTAGCAGAAAATGAACAATGAGCCTCTTTCAATATTGGCAAAAAGCCAAGGTTTGTGAGTACATTAATGTTTGTCTCAGATCCACATCCCTAAATCAATCTACAGTATGTCAAAGCCTTTAACTAAGTTAATCATCTGAGTGTCCATAGTAATCTAAATTGTGATTTTATCATACCAACCCCTATCATCACAAGCCAAGGTGAGGGAATAATGTAAGGAGGAATAAGTACCACATTATCCAATTCTCAACTAATTATACTCTGAAAAGGGGAGAGAAGAAAATAAGCACATTGAGTCTATTAATAGACTCAATGGGCTAGAGTTGTTAACTGCACTTACAGAGGACCTGGGTTTGGTCCAGCACCCACATGATGGTTCACAACCACCTGGAACTCCAATTCCAAGGGATCAGACCCTCTCCAAATCTTCAGACACCAGGTGAATATACATACATACATGCCGACTGAACACTACACATATGTAATCTTTAAAATATTAATATACTTATCCAGTTAACAAATGCTTACCCCAATAATTAACAAAAATGCAGACATTTTCTCAACCAATAAAGGAACAAAAAACCCAGAAACAATAAAGTTCAGAGTAAATAAAGAACAAAGTAACAAAAAGAACCCGTTCTTTCAGTCACATGAAACAACCAGAGTTAACAATAAAGCAAACAGCAAACCTGTTTTAAATCTGTATGTAATCCAAAGGATAAAAACCAAATAAATGCTCTTCTACAAAAGTACAAACTGGTGCCTCAAATGTAAACAGAAGAGATGCACATGTGCAGGACGGGCACACGGACACATATCACCCCCCCAGTGATAGTCTACAACACTCATAGATCAGTCAGTGCCTTGCTCAGCCATCACCAGAGGCTATTCCTCCTGCAGCAGGTGGGAACAAATCAGAGACCCACAGTCAGAGTATATGCAGAGAGTGAGAGACCTTGGAACACTCAGCCCTAAATGGGATGTCTCTATCAAATTTCTCTCCTCAGGGCTCAGGGAACTCTGCAGAGGAGGAAACAGAAAGAGTGTATGAGCCAGAGAGGATTAAGGTCTCTTAAACACAGCCCGAGTGGTGCACATATGAACTTGGAGACTGTGGCAGCATGCACAGGGCCTGCACAGGTCTGCACAAGATAAGGTCCCAGAGCTAAAAGAAGTGGACACACAACACCTCATCACTAACCGAAAGCTACTTTTCTCCAGGAGAGTCTCACTGGAGAAACGAAGGATAGGACCTTATGCTCAGCAGAAGGCATCTTTGGAAGTTGTCTCATATGTTGGATTGAGGGTTGTTTTCTAATCTTTATAGGTCCTTTGCATATATATTATGGTTTCCAGTTTTGTGTTTTCATGGGATTCCTGTGTGTCAACTTATGTGTGTCTGCATCTGTGTTCCTTATGCTTTTTCATCTGTTTGTTTTGTCCTATTCCAATTTGTTTTTGTTTTATCTTATTTTACTATTATTCCTTAGATGTCTGTTTTCTTAGGAAAAACCAAAGAGAGAAAGTGTAGATCAGATGAGAAGCCATAATCAGAATATATTGTATTTAAAAAATCTATTTTCAATAAAAGAAAAAAAATCACCAAATAATGCTGGTGCTGTGGGATGTTCTGTATGGCAAATGTGTTGCTAATTAGTCAATAAATAAAACACTGATTGGCCATTGGCTAGGCAGGAAGTGTAGGCGGGACAAGGAGGAGAATAAAGCTGGGAAGTGGAAGGCTGAGTCAGAGAGACACTGCCAGCCACCACGATGAGAAACAGCATGTGAAGATGCCGGTAAGCCACGAGCCAGGTGGCAAGGTATAGATTAATGGAAATGGATTAATTTAAGCTGTAAGAACAGTTAGCAAGAAGCCTGCCACGGCCATACAGTTTGTAAACCAATATAAGTCTCTGTGTTTTATTTGGTCGGGTCTGAGTGGCTGTGGGACTGGCAGGTGAGAGAGATTTGTCCTGACTGTGGGCCAGGCAGGAAAACTCTAGCAACAGTGAGTGAACTTGAAATTCAAAGAGCAAAAAATTACATACTCAAAATTTACTAAAATAATTTAGAAAATATTATAATCTGTGTCAAGATACTATGAAGCATTTAATTTATAGCTTTCAAAAACTAAAAGCATAAGCTGGGCGGTGGTGGTGTACACCTTTAATCCCAGCACCCAGGAAGGAGAGATAGGTGGACCTCTGTGAGTTCGAAGCCAGCCTGGTCTACAGAGTTCCAGGATAGCCAAGGCAGAGAAACCCTGTCTCGAGAGAAAAAAAAAAAAAAATACACACACACACACCCACACCCACACACACACAGGCTCATCTGAGACTCAAGGCAACCTCTTACTTGTAACCCTTGTAAAATCAAAAAGCAAATTACAAACAGAACAGGGCTGGAATGATGGCTTAGCAATTAAGTGCACTGGCTGCTGCTCTTGCAGAGGACCTGAATCTGGTTTCCAGCATGTACATGGCAGCACATGAACATGTGTATCTCCGTTCCTAGGGAATCTGATGAGGCCTTACCCTGGCTTCCAAGACCACCATGCATGCATGTGCTGCACAGACACACATGCAGACAAAATACCCATACACACACACACACACACACACACACACACACACACACACACACACACACACAGCTGATAAAAGCTTAAGAAAAACAAAAAGCCATTAATTAAAGGACTACTGACACATGAAAAAATGCCATTTTATTTCACAAAAGTACAAACTGGAACCTCAAGTGTAGACAGAAGAGATGTACACAAAACTCCTAAAAAACATACACAGGCCACATACACAACTACAGTAACTAGTTATTACACAGAGGCATAAATGAACATTTTGTGATAGGGCTAGGATGTAGCTGATTGGTAAAGTGCTGGTATAGAATTTGCAAAGGGTTCAATTTGAACCTCCAGCAACTCTCTCTCTCTCTCTCTCTCTCTCTCTCTCTCTCTCTCTCTCTCTCTCTCACACACACACACACACACACACACACACACACACACACACACACACACACGGAAGGAGGGAGGGAGGGAGGGAGGGAGAGAGGGAGAGAGAGAGAGAGAGAGAGAAAGAGAGAGAGAGAGAGAGAGAGAGAGAGAGAGAGAGAGAGAGCGCAACCTGTTAAAGTGTGATATGCTCTTGCCTAGAGCTGCAACAAGTCAACAAAAGATGGTCTGTACCATACGAACTACAAACAAGGATGGCTCACAGCACTGCTCCCCAACTTCACTTACCAAAGGGGGAAAAGACAAAAAAAAGCCTCACAATCATAGAGAAAGGCACATTATGAGCTGTTTACATATGAGACAACAGAACCACAAAAGACAGCATTTTTTTCTTTCCTTTTTGGATTTTTTAAAAAGATAGTGTGTGTACGTTTATGTGTGTATGCCCACTTGAGGTCACATGTCGGTGGAAGCCAGAAGGCATTCAATCCTCTGGAGTATAGTTACAGGTGGTTGTTAAGAACCTGACATGGGTGCTAGGAACCCAACTGTGACCGTCTGCCATGTCTTCAGCCCCTCTTCTTTGGGTTTTTGAGACTGATCTCATACTGTAGCACAGGCTGGTCTGCATGCGGTCTTAAATCATCCTGCCTCACACTAGAGTGCAAGGATGAATGTGTGATGAGCCACCACAACAGACTATAAATGTACTTACTAATTATTGAAATACCCAAGTTTTTTCTAAAGTGAAAATACAACTAGCATGTAACATGACTCCAACACATGTAAGATGTCTGGGTATATTTTTAAAAAAGAATAAAGACATAATCACTTTTATCAAAGACAATCTATTAAAAACCCTCAGCTGATGGAACAGGGCTGGGGCGTTAGCTCAGTGGATAAAGTGTTTGCTCTGCCCCGGCACAAGCACCTGAATCTGAGTACCCAGCACCCTTGCAAAAGCTTGGGTAGTAGCACACATCTGTATTTCAAATGCTGAGAGGCAGAAACAAGTGGACCCCTGGGGCTTAATCACTGGCTAGCCAGTCTAGCCAATTACCAGGCTCCAGGACCAGGGAGCAATGGAAGAAGACAGTATGACAGAACCTGTGGTAGCCACAGGAGCTGCACAGATGAGCACACACACAGGCACACACCACACACAAAATACTATTTAAAATTTTAAAAAAATCCAATGGAAAGCAAAAACATATGATTAAAAAAAATTATCAAAACCTTTATCCAGAACTTTAAAACAAAGACTTTCTTGTTTCAACATATCTATATAATTATAGACCAAAAATGCAGATATAAAATGAAAATTCATAATGCATCACTAGTTAAACTTAAATTCTGACTAATTAGAGTAAATAATTCAAACAGCCATTCTGAAAACTGGAATTAAAAACACCTTAAGAGCAATTATGTTTAAGTGTGCTTAGGCATTTAATGACTGTTCAAATCATCTAAAGTAGATGAATACATGTTTTAACAGGTTAAGAAATTATAAATATTTTAACTTTATCTAATAACCTACTTATCTGTTATCTACTCTAATAGAATTAAGAATATTTGCTCTTACTAATTTATAAATTAGCTCAATATTCAAAATGCAGTGGTATAATTCATTTTAACCCCATATATCTGGAATGTCTGTGTGTGTGTGTGTGTGTACACACACATACGTGTACTATATACAAATATTCTACAAGGGAAGTCTGTTTATGCTGTATATCCAGCTCAAGAATAAATTTTATGCAACATATAACACACATAACACATAGCTTTTTTCCCACATGTGCTTTTAAAGAGCCCCAGATAAACTCATAATAAACAGGCATATGGTTAAATAACTAACGGGACAACAGGGTATCTCCAGGAAAAGTTTTAGTAATAGACCTAATGCCAGAGCATAAGCTTCTGATAGTGCAGGCAAATTCCTAAACTTAAAAAAATGGGAAGCAGCAGCTGAGAATGGGGCTGGAGAGATGGCTCAGGTTAAGAGCAGCGTCTGTTCTTCCAGAGGTCATGAGTTCAATTCCCAGCAACCACATGATGGCTCACAACCACCTATGAGATCTGGTGCCTTCTTCTGGCAGGCAGAACACTATACACATAATAAATAAATAAATCTTTAAAAAAAAAAAAAAGCAGCAGCAGCAGCAGAGAATGGCAGTGCACACATTTAACATCCAAGGAACAAAGAGGCAGTGGATCTCTGTGAATTCAAGGCCAGCCAGGGCTACACAGTAAGACCCCATCTCAAACCCCAGCTCCCCAAAAGAATCAGGTTATTTGTGGTCTAAAACCATACAATTAAAACCTCTTCATGTAACACCTCCCAATAAACAGGAATCTTATTAACAGAAACCCAATTCACTGTATTTCACACTGTTGTCACATGCTTCAAATTACTAGTGCCAAATGCAATACTCAATCAGTCAACTCCACAAATGCTCATTCCTTCAGTAAACATAAAGTTCTAAATTAGAACTTAATGACTAATAGGAAGCACAGCACTTTTAAAGTAATCACATTCACTTAGTGTTCCTGGTGTTTTCAATATTTTACAAAAGATTAAAAATGCTTATAGTTATTGAGATAATGGGGGACTCAAACTCTAAAATAAATAAACCTCTTAACTATAAATAAGTCTTCACCAAATATCAAAATAATACCAAATAAAGAAAAGAAACATTCAAATATTTCTTGATAAATGCATGCATAAAAGTATGAATATCCCCGAAACTCATAAAATCGGTTCAAGTTTTTTCTTTTTTCAATGAAGACTGTAAACATTTAAAATATTTATGAACCAAAATCTGGCAAGCACAGTTGGGTGGTGGTGGTGGTGCACATCTTTAATCCCAGCACTCAGGAGGCAGAGGCAGGTTGACCTCTGTGAGTTCAAGGCCAGCCTGGTCTACAAATACAGTTCCAAGACAAGTAGAGCTCTTACAGAGAAACCCCATGAAGGGTGCACAAAACACTAGAGATACAATAGTCAATTATCAACCAGATATAGCAAAACTTAAAGAAATGACATCTAAAATTAAATCTTTAAATATTATTATGTGCATACCCATTAAATCCAGTGACAATTTTCAGTATTCTTTCCTTCATTTCATCAAAGGGAATATATTCAACATTAGGATTGGGAGGACCTCTTGGTTCAGGAGCTGAAGTTCTGAAATCATCCATCACTTTCTCCAGTTTGAAAATAAAATAACCTTTAAATTGGGACCACTGAATCCTATAAAGAAAGAAGTCAGAAAACATTAACAATTACTCTTGCAATTACTTAACACAGACACAGACACTATAAAGATGCTCATAATTTCCACAATAATGCTTATGTGGACTAGAAAAATCTCTTACCATTAAAAGTACAGAGTAAGTTACGTTTGGTGGCATATACCTTTAATTCCAGCACTTGGGAGACTGAGTGTTTTAGTTAGGGTTTATATTGCTGAGAAGAGACACCATGACCACGGTAACTCTTATAAAAGAAAAACATTTAATTGTAGTGGTTCACTTACAGTTCAGAGATTCGGTCTATTATCATCATGGAAGGAAACAAGGCAGCATGCGGGCAGAAGGGTGTGGCTTGAGTATATATAAGGTCTCAAAGGCTGCCTCCAGTGACACACTTCCTCCAAGGCCATACCTCCTAATGATGCCACTCCCTACGAACTTATGCGGGGAAATTGCAAGCTACCAAACTGAGGCAGGAGGAGCTCTGTGAGTTTAAGGCCAGTCCTGTCTACAAAGTAAGTTCCAGGACAATCAGGAACCACACAGTGAGATCTTGTCCCAAAAAACAAACAACAACAACAACAAATAAATAAATAAATAAGTTCTTTCCTCCCTCCCTTTTCAGTCACTGTTATTTGAGGTATTCAGGGTACTGGTCCCAGCCTATGTGACATAGCAAAAAAGTACACACATGCCCCGGCTAGAAGATGGCTCAACGTTTAAGGCACACACAGTTCAAGCATGAAGGCAAAACCTTGGATCCCCAGAATCAAGTACCAGGTGGGAATGGTAGCCTATGTATAATTCCAGCACTTAGAAGGTAAAGATGAGAATCCATGAAGCTGACTGGCCAGCCAGCCAAACTTTATCAGCAAGCCCTGGGTTCAACAAAAAACTTGACTCCACTCAACAAATAAAGTGGAGAAAGAAATCAATTCCAACATCATCCTTTGACTACAAAAATGAAGATACACATACACACAGGCATACAAACATGCACATATGCATAAGGAAAAATATACAAGTACCCCATTTATATTTTATCTCTATTCATTGTTGGGTAGTAATTTCCTCCAAGATAAAATGCTAACATTGACCAGCTCACTGTGACCCATCTTCCCCAAACTTATATAAGGAGTAAGAACTGCTGACATTTTTTTTTTTTAAGTGTATGGGTATTTTATCTAAATGCTTTCTTGTGCACCCTCTGGGTGCCTGGTGCCCAAGGAGGCTACAAGAGTGTGTCAGATCTTCTGAAACTGCAGCTGCAGGCAGTTGTGAGTTGCCATATGGGTGCTGGGAATCAAAACCCAGGCCCTCTGGAAGAACAACAAGTGCTCTTAACCACTGAGCCATCTCTCTTACTCCCTCCCACCCCTAGACACTCTTAGGCAAGCTAAGTAGCCTAGAAGATGCTCAGACCAGCTAAGCTGCACTGCCTGGAAGATACATTCTCTGACCTGCTCAGCTGCTTACAAGCGGCTCAGTGTGTTCTGTATTTCCAGCTATTGTAACCTGCCAGGCATTCTGCGGTTGGCTTTTGATGGTAAAACTGCCTCAGAGTCACTTCTGCTCTTGTAGTTAACACTTTATCCATGCTTCAACTAACAGGAATGACTCCATACATAGGCTCATATATTTGAATGTTTGGTCATTAGGGAGTGGCACTACTTGACAGGGATTAGGAGGTGTGGCCTTGGTGTTGGAGAAAGTGTATCACTGTGGGTGGGCTTTGAGGTTTCAAACATTCAAGCCAGGTCCAGTGTCTCTCTCTTTCTGCTGCCTGTTGATCATGATACAGAACTCTCAGCTCCTTCTCCAGCACCCTGTCTGCCTGCATGCTGCCCCACTTCCTGCCATGCTGATAACGAACTAAATCTTTAAACCAGCAGTTTTCAACCTGTGGGTCGCAACCCCTTGGGGTGTCAAATGACACTTTCATAGGGGTAGCCTAAGACCATCAGAGAAATTAATTACATTACAATTCATAACAGGAGCAAAGTTACAGTTATAAAATAGCAACAAAATAATTTTATGGCTGGGATCACTACAACATGAGGAGCACAGCATTAGGAAGGTTGTGGACCACTGCCTAAAATGTAAGCAAGCCCCAATTAAATGCTTTCCTTGTAAGAGTTGCTGTGGTCATGGTGTCTCTTCACAGCAACAGAACACTGACTGAAAACAGTAAATATAAACTGAGCCAGTGCTCACCAAGTTGGACTTTGGTGATATCCTTACTTTAGTATGACAATGGTTCCTGATCAAGGGTGAGCAGAGGTTTGTTCATGTCTCCCCAGGAACAGTACCAGACCTCTTAATCCTTTCTTCACATTTTATCATTAATGTAAGAAAAAGTGTGAAGGTGATACCTGAACAAACAGTCTCAATTCTAGGAGATACAAAAGTTAAGGATGTCACCTATTTTTTGTGCAGAGAGTACTCTCATGTACATTCACGAAACACAATTACAGAAAACAGAGTATTAATTTGCTATATATGACTGTCTAGCAGTCCTATAAACTAGGAGAGTAGTTTCCAATTGTGATTCAAGAGATCAGGCTTGAATCAGGAATCAGGCAACTTCACTGTGCTATTGGCTCTATCTTCACTGTGCCAACAACCGGAAAGCAATGCTGGATGGAAATGATGACGACCTAGCAGCAATCCAGCAGCAGCACCAAATCATACTAACAGTATTATCAGAAATTCAGTTTTGCTTTGTTCTGTGTTTTAAATCTGGGGCTGGAGATATAACTCAGTTGGTAAAATGCTCACCTAGCACAATATAAATTGGGCATGCATAAATTGGCCATGGTGATATAAGACTGTATTCTCAGCAGGTGGGAGATGGAGACAGGAGGTCAGAAATTCAAGGTCAGCATAACAACCCACAACATCAAGGTCAAGAGCAGTTAAAAGGTCTTGAGGAAGAGCAAGTAGTGTCACAGACTGTGGATCCCAGCTACTCAAGAGGCTACGGCTGAAGGACCTCTTGAACCCAGTTCCAGATCCGCCTGTCTCAACATAAATTTTCTCAGGGAACATGAAGATTCACAATCAACAAAATTAGTTTCAAAAGACTTTGTATTAAATAGAAAATTCATGACGGAGATTTTTGTGCTAATACACAAAACCTACAGGAGGATCAACGTAGGTTTAGAACTGTTGATAGGAGGGCTCCAGGACAAAGCTGGAATAAGCTGGACCTTAAAAGGATAAAGCCAGCAGTACAAGAGAAAAAAAAAATGTCAACAAAGGGAATTTCCCATACTCAGCAATGCTGGCATTGAGGACCACAAAATCCTGTCTTGTGGCAAGCTACCCTATGTGCTTTAAGTTTTCTGCAGCATGGCCAACCACTATCCATGTGTGCCAGGAACAATGGCCACTCCTCAGAAGTAACAATCAACAAAAGTATCCCCCGGACATTGCTAAATGAACTGCCACCAGTTAAGAACCACTACAACCCTAATCCCTTCTGCTGAGGACTACAATAAAAAAATGAAACTAGGAAACCCAGAACCTCTAACAGAAATCTCACAATGAGATATAAGGTTTGCTTAAGAATACTCTAGCATTGTAACCTCTGGAAGGGTAAACACTCAGGTTAGTCTTCCTGCTGGCTGTGCCTCTGACAATACCATACATAGGCTGTGTCACTACGAAATTGTAACCCCAAATAAATCCCTTCTCCTTTCAGCTGCTCCTGTCAGGATATTATCACAGTAACAACGAGGTCACCAAGACAAGCAGCACATGAAAAGCTGTCTGTAGGTTGAACATAATAAATATTAAGGAACTCGAGCATAACTTGGTATCAGCAGGGCTCCTATATCCATACCCTGAAGACACCAAGGGATGACTATCAGTTTGCAAATTCAAAGAGCTCACAAGGGTAACTGAAAGTAGCACCTAAGAATTGACAAGACAGACCTATATCAAAGCATGATAGAGAAAGTGCATAATCTTGGAACCAAAGAGAAAACCCTACAATATTTCACTGATGAAACACAGAGGACCTCAAGTCAGTGTCAGAAGAGCAATAGGAAGACACCTCAAAATCTGCAGAGATGAGGATTTTTCAACTATATGCCGAAACTATCCATCAAGTAGGACAGTGATAGCAACACATCTTCAAACAATAAAAGCAAAATTAACCAGTTTGCTGTCCAGCCTTCCCTCACTCCATGAAATCAAATAAAACCAAGAAAGGATGGCATAGTATCTAGAAAATGAAGATCACAAATAAATCAAAATTATAAAGAGGGAGATCTTTCATTCTAAGAATTGTCAACTTAGTTGTAAGATATGAAGATTCCTATCTTTATAACATGGTAAAATTAAAAATCTACAGGTAATCAATTTGGAATAAACAATCAAGAATGGTTCTTTCAGCTTTTATAGGGCAAAAGACATGGTCAGTAAGACAAAAAGACAGCCTACAGAATGGGAAAAGATCTTCACCAACCCCACATCTGACAGAGGACTGATCTCCAAAGTATATAAAGAACTCAAGAAACTAGACATCAAAATACTGAACAACATCCTTAATCAGAGAAATGCAAATCAAAACGACTCTGAGATACCACCTTACACCTGTCAGAATAGCTATGATCAAAAACACTAATGACAGTCTATGTTGGAGAGGATTCGAAGCAAAGGGAATACTCCTCCACTGTTGGGAGTGCAAACTTGTACAACCACTGTGGAAATCAGTATGGAGGTTTCTCAGAAAATTGGGAATCGATCTACCTCAAGACCCAACCATACCACTCTTGGGCATATACCCAAGGAATGCTCAATCATACCACAAAGATACATGCTCAACTATGTTCACAGCAGCATTAACCGTAATAGCCAGAACCTGGAAACAACCTCGATGCCCGTCAACTGAAGAATGGATTAAGAAAATGTGGTACATATATATAACGGAATACTACTCAGCAGAGAAAAACGACATCATGAAATTTGCAGGAAAATGGATGGAACTAGAAA